TTAATGTACCCTGATGGTACAAACAACATTAATGTATTCCGATGGTACAAATAACATTAATGTACCCCAATGGTACAAACAACATTAATGTACCCCAATGGTACAAACAACATTAATGTACCCCCGATGGTACAAAAATGCTCCTCCATTTCTGTACCTACAGCTAAGGGTACAATTGGCAGACCCGTGAGGGTATATTCCCAGTGACAAGTAATTAAATCCTATAAATTACAAATTGGCATTTTTTTTCTGACGGCGTGGCATTGTTTTAACTAGAATATTTTGCCACAAAACAAACATCATGCATGTGACACGGTGGCTGACATGACAGAACAGGCGCCTCACACCTGTGGAGATTCTCCTTGCTCTGTATGTGTGTCTGTATGTAGGTGGCCCATCCCTAGGTTATCTGTTTTTTTCTAAATTATCCCTAGTGTGTGCTTCTGTGTGGGGGATTGGTATCCCATGAAGGGCATCCCCAGCCCTGTAACAATGCATTATGTAATAATGTAACAAATTGAATGATGATAATAATAATTATGATAATTATGATAATAATAATAATAGTATAATGTTGCAATATATTATAATGTAGCCTAAAAATGTTACGTTTTGTTGAGTTATTACATAATGCGGTGTTTACATAATGCATTGTTACACGGTGTGTCACGTGTTATGTAATAACATCAAATGTGATGAAAATTTGTTATATTTTATCAAGTTATTAAGTAATATGGCATTATTACATAATGCGTTGTTACATGCCCTAAGCTTCCTGGATAGGTTCTGGGGTCCCCCAACCCCTCATTGGGTAAGCTGCTACAGAATCGGACAGATCATCACCTGATCTTCTTGTAGTTTGATCAAAGTCATTCAATAGTTTTTTTAAATGGATGTTGTTCAAAAATCTAAACAAATTCTTCCCATGTTTGGGACCCTGATGCAGGTGACACAATCTATGGCCGGGTGATGGTGGACCCAGTGCAAAACCTTGGCGACTCCTTCATCTGTAACATCGAGAAGGTCTTCCTGTGCACCGGCGCCGATGGCTACGTCCCCAAATACAACCCCAGCAAGTCTGAGTTTGGCTGCCTTGCCGATTCCCCCTCGCTCCTTCATCGGTTCAAAATCATCGTAAGTATGGCATAGTGGTATGCTGCCTTACAGGCAAACCATTCAAACCTTAAGCCAAACACAACCAAACAGCATTTGTCCCATATTAAGATTGCTTCTTAAAGCAGTTTCGAAAGCAAGCTATACTTACAGAAGTTTTCTGATATAATTCATATATCGTATATCGTCTGTATTGTTTTCTTCAGGATAATAACATTAAAAGTAAAATGGGAAGCAAAAACAAAATCTCTGCTAACCAAGTCTTGGACCCGTCACTAAGATCTCTTAGGAGTATACATGACATTGCTGAGAAGATTCATGAGTGTGCTGAAGAAGTTCTATGGGGTTGAGGGAATTGGTAACAAGAGTCATAATAAAATCAAAGACTGAGAATTCCTGGTTGTGCTGAACTCACTTATCCATGAAAAAGTCATACAAACTGGAGTCGCAACGAAATGTGCTCAAAATCAATGTAAACCCTTCACATCACATTCCCTGCTAACAGTTTTTCATTCTTGTTCAAAGTGTCCAGTTTTCCTGATGCTCCCAGAATGTGATCCCACTACTACAGCTAAGATTAATAATATAAAAGCAAACAAAGTGTCTGGTGGAGCAGCAACACTGTCTGGTTACATGTCAAAGGGCATGAGGTCCAGGCTGGATGGCGTGTTTGTGGATCACACATATAACACTTTTTTCTACATTAATTGCGTTAAAATGGTATTGAAGTAATAATTGTGTCATGCTGTGTGGTAGAAATTTATGACAGTCGGTGTTGCAGAGTATGACGTTTATTTTCTGAATTCAGGGAGCAGTCACCTCACAGTTCCGTCAGTTCCGTGGTTCTGCTCAGAGAACTTTTTGGTTAACATACCATTTATAGTGGCACACAGATAGTTTGTGCCCCTTCCTCGAACCAGATTAATCTGGCTAGGGTGGAGCACATGCGCTCTAACATATCTACTTCATGCAGTTTGCACCTTGCCAGCATGTATATACTTTATGCAGTCTGTATCCTCATATGCGCTTTGCATGCTCCCCTAACTCATAAGCGTCTTCCTGTTCGACACGCTTCCAGACTCACACCTTTGCTCTCCAGCCAGCAATTCTGTGAATTCTAATGAGCTTAATGTTCTAGCGAAATTATCCCACTAAGGTTAACTCTTAATTGTCTTTAGCTTACATCCTTGGGTGCTCACTGTTTAACACACAGGTGCTCTTGCATTAGTATAAAAATACATTCCAAAGCTGTTTAGAAAAATATCCCTCTAGTCAATTTTTCTCTCACAGCTGACATTGACTGAACCTTTGTTGAAATCTTATCTTGAATAGAACTGAAGCAGCTCCAGAAAGAATGTGTTGAAAAGAACTCAGACTGTGCTTCTCCTCATATTTACCGCCGCCCTCAGGACAAGGCTCAGCCCGAAACGCAGGACAGGAGCTTTGGGAGCGTCGGCTTCAATGCGCTTCTGGCCCTGGAGGACCCACAGGCGCAGGCCCTCGTCAGGCAGCCAGGCTCCGACGGATTCAGAGTGGACTCCAGCCCCCTGTTCCAGGTCTGTCTCACCCTGCACTTGGCTCCATGTGTGTGGAGTTGGCATGTTCTCCCTGGGTCATCATGGGGTTTCCATGGGGTTCTCTGGTTTCCCCTCACAGTCAAGCAACATGCTGAGGTTAACTGGAGTTACCAAATTGCCTGTAGGTGTGACTGGTGTGTGTGCATGCGTGCGAGTGTGTGTGTGTGTGCGTGTGTGTGTGCCCTGCAGTGAGTTGGCGCCTGGTCCTTGGTTGTTCCCTGCCTTGGATGGATGGACAAATAGAGGCTATCCAGCCAAAGACTATCTGCTGCTGCCCAGAATGAATCTCAGGACAATGATTTCCCTAAACTTTCCATCAGTCAATTCCCATTTAAGGCCTTGTGTTCACAAATAAGAGCTAATATTCTACTACATTAGCCTGACATTTAAATCCAACACAAGGTACAGAACAGGGAAGGGCTACAATTTATGTGTGTACCATGGGATTTGAACCTATGGCCTTGCATTACTAGAACAATTCTCTATCTGGTGAGCACATGTTAGTTATTCACTAGCCACATGGCCTAGCTATACACTAGTCACATTATCTTTGTTCCCCTCTATTGGTTCCATGCCCCAGACAAGACAAAATGACTGATAATGGATCATTGTATACCTAAATAAATCAATGAGACCTAGGTGTTCCCCCATCCCAGAGTCACCCCTCCCCCACCTCGTTCCAGTATATTTGGATATTTTTGGTTATCAGCAGAAAGGACCTTGCCCTGCTTGAGAGCTGCATTTCTCCTTTATCTCTGTAGGTGGCGACAGGGAGGGCATGGTACCTGCACACTATTTACACAGTGCGTTCCAGGGATAATGCCAACCGTGGTATTGGGAAGCGTAGCCTGGAGTACCATTCCTTGGCACAGGCTGCCAGTTCCTCGTCCAGGGCGTCTCGGTCCATGAGGTCAGCTGGTGGGGTGCAGGACATCGCAGACAAGATTGGTGCTGAGAACAACAGAGGTACCAACATCATGCATATCGCGCTGGACTACAGCCGCCAGCGGACGAGTGCGGGTGGGGAAATTTTCGCAGATGGTGTCGTCCCACAAGAGCTCGCCAGGCATGGCAAGGAAGCAGGCCTCGTAACGACAGTGGGTGTCCTGGTGGGACTGCTGCTCTTCATCCTCGTAGTCATCCTCCTCATTTTGTTTGTGTACTCCAAGAAGAAGGAGAAGAAGGCAGCACCGAAGGTGTGTGGGAGTAAGGAGCCCATCATCACACAGGGCTTTAGCGCTGCCGACAGCTCGGAGGTTTGACCGACATCCAGGAACCTGCCAGCCCTTGGCTTCATTATTTAGTCCATTATATTTGTTTTGAAAGCCCTACAAAGCAATTCACCAACATTCTAGGAGGACTTTTGTCAAGCGGCATTGTGCGAAAAAGGCTTGGGGTTCAGACTGAGGGCTTGTCATTTTAATTTTCATTTTCTGTAAAACCTACTTGAATGAACTGCCACAAGCTGGCCAATGTAAACTGGCCAATGAGATACAAGCTCCATCCAGCAATCGACAGCAAAGCCCCCCACTGAAAAGCAGCACTGCATATCAGGAACTCTTCCATTTACCGGCTTTGCCATCCTGTTTGTTTTTATATATATATATATATATATATATATATATATATAATATATATATATATATATATATATATATATATATATATATATATATATATACTTATAGAAACACACACACAGACATATATAGACACATTGAAACTTTGATGTAAAGTATGTTCATAATATCCTTAGCTGTAAAAATGTTGTTTGAAGTTCTGGCTTTCGGTCCATGTACTTTACCAGTTCTTAGTCTACCCTGTAATCTGTATGTAATGTATTGCTGTTCTAAACATTGCCATCAGAGATGTTGCTGTTTGTAAACAAATGCCTGATTTTAATGGAGGAACACTGGATTTTTGTAGATTCGTTTTTTTAATGAAAGTTAATTTGCTTGTAAAAGAAAGTGCTCTTCGTTTTCTGTATGAAAACATGGGCGCAGGTAATGCTTAAGTACGTTTTGTCACTTGCCTTATACCAACTGCATTTTTTTGCTTTCTTTTTGTGGGGGTGTCGCTGCCCTTCTTTCGGTCACTCTTCGTAACGGCAGCTGTTGTTTCACGTTCACATTTACAAAGAAAAATGTATGTCCTTTATATTATTGGATTGTGATTTTTAATGAACCCTTTATTCTTTATATATATATATATATATCAACTGTTTTTCATACTTACTGTCCAAGACATCGGATCTCACGCCTATATATTACGTGCCATTTGTACTGTAAACAGTTGTGTACGTACGTGTGCGGCTGGGAACATTTAGTGTAACCTGGATCAGGGGCGCCGTAAGGGGGAGGAAAGCTAGGACGATTCCAAGGGCCCCTGAGTGACAGGGGCCCTAAAAAATT